CCACCACAGTTTCATAATGAACTGTTTTGCACTGTTGCTCCAGCAAAACATCTCTCACTCTCAGTACGAGTATTTGTGATTGAGAAACTAGCGTTTAACCCCCGTCCCCCCCTCGCTCTGCCCCTCCTGTACGGTCTAGTATGGAAAGTCGCACATTTTCTGCAAAGAAACACAGAGGCAGAGACGCTCTTTGACGCAGACACGATATATTTGACAAGTGCAGACCAGATAAAGCAGTGAACACATGAGCTTGTGCCCATGTCATTCTCTAACACGCTGGATTCTATCGTTTTAATATGCTACATCATTAACAACGAGCCGGCGAAAACATCCCCAATGCGCTGTGTGTTTTTAGGGCTAATTTATGAAGTCATAAGAGCCTTTAACAGGGAGCTAGAGAAACAGGAAGAGGCGGAGTGGGCAAAGCCTGTGTGTGTGTGTGTGGTGTGGGTGGGTGTGGTGTGTGTGTGGTGGTGTGGTGTGTGTGTGATGTGTGGTGTGTGGGCTGTGTGTGTGTGTGTGAGAGAGACGAGGGGAGACGGAGAGAGAGAGAGAGGTACAGTTGACGGTATTTGAAGGGAAAAGCAAGGTGAGCAGTTTTAAGTAGTTTGTGAGTGAATTAAGTAAATAAGATGATAATCTGGCCTACGCAAAAACAGGTCAAAATATAAAGTCATAAAGTCGGCGCAGGCAAAATACAGTGGTACATTTCTAGCAGGGAAAAGGGGAAAAGACAGAGGTGGTTCTCCAGAGCCAGAGCCAGAGAAAGCACACTACATCAATTCAATTCAATTCAATTTAGACAGACAGTGTCACTGATGCACCAGAAACCAGGCTCAGCCAGGATCATCCAGTTGCTGAGCTGCAGGGCCAGCACTTCCGACTTGCAGGTGGAGTCCAGCCTGTGCCATTTATAATCAAGCTGACGAGTAACAGCAGCAGCGTGCAGATATAAAAATGTTGATGTTGGCATCCACAGACAAGAAAAAGAATACTGCATTTATGAAACTTGCACCACGTGCAGACAAGGAGTGCTACAAGTGCATTTCTTTGTGTAGCTGCTGTTTGTATGTGTGTTTGAAGCTTTACGTTTTAATTTTAAAACCTTTAAAAATATGTTTTGTTAGGTGGAGCACATTTCTGTTGAATACTGGAAAGAGTAGAGTTCATACTGTTCAGAGTGTCATAGTATGTCCTCTGTCCTCAGGTTACTTTGGACAGGGAAGCAGGGGGTCCTAACCAGATTGTATTTGTTCAAAGGGGGGAAAAAAGAGACGGGGTGGGAGAGAGAGAGAGGGTGGAAAGCAGAGGCCAAATGAAAACAATAAAGTAGAAGTGAAAGTTCTGTCTTTGAATTTGAAGAAGCTGATTATCTGAATATCTAGCTCTATAAAATATATATTTCTGTGTAACACAATGTTGTACGTCCAATAATCATTAAACTGTATGCAATAAATACCACGATTTGAACCAATTTGAATCTTGACATGTTTGTATCACCATTTAACTGTCTC